CCAAAACCCTAGAAAAATTCAGGAAAACAATACAAGAACAAAATGACAAATACAAAACTAGAAACCATACAAAAACATCAGCTAGAAATCCAGAAGATTAACAATAAAATATCAGAAATAGATAACTCAATGGAAGGACACAGATGTAGAATTAAATCAGTGGAAGAAAGAATCAGTGAAATAGAGGACAAATCCCTTGATACTAATTTGTTTGAGGAACAGTGAGAAAAAAAGAATGAAGGAAAATGAAGAAAGCCTAAGAGTTATGTGGGACATTATCAAGAAGAATGATTATATATGTAATAGGAACTCCAGAACAAGAGGAGGAAAAAAAGTATGGAGAGAATTTTTGAAGGTTTATTGGCAGAAAACTTCCCTAATACCATGAAAGACAAGAAGGTTTCCACCCAAGAAGCTCAATGAACCCCATACAGAACAGACCCCAAAAGAAAGTCACCAAAACATATCATAATCAAACTTTCCAAAACCAAAGACAAAGAAAGAATTCTGAGAGCAGCTTGTGAAAAATGAAATATCACCTACAAAGGGGCACCAATGAGACTAAGCACTGATTTCTTGGCAGAAACCATGCAGACAAGAAGGCAGTGGGATAACATATATAAAATCCTGAAAGAAAAGAATTCCCAACCAAGTATCATATATCCAGCAAAATTATCTTTCAAATACGATGGCAAAACTAGGACATTCCTAGATAAATGGAAATTAAGGGAATTTGTAAAACCCAGACCAGCCTTACAAGAAATATTAAAGGGAGTCCTTCAGACAGAGAACCAACAACATCAGACAAAAACCTGAGATTAAGACACATGACCCCAGTGTCCAGATACCAACCCAGGTAAAGAATTCTCAAAAGTAAAGTGAAGCTGCAAAACTGAAAACAGGGAACCATCTGTGAACAATGACAACTTAAAACAAAAAAGGGGGTTAAATGGTATAGTTGTAGAACTTCCATATGGAGAGGAAGTCAAGGTGATATCAAGATATAATACACTGTTTAAACTTAGGAAGATACAGGTAAATTTTAGAGTAACCACAAAAAAAATTAATAAATCTACTCACCAAAATAAAGGACAAAATCAAAAAGACTCAGTAAATACAAAATCAACAACAATGAAGGACACAAAAAGAAAATCCATAAACAAAAAAATAGTACAGAAAATTAAGTGGAGCAAAGAAACCATTAACACCACAAAAATAAAATAACAAAATGGCAGCAGTAAATTCATACCTATCAATATCAACATTAGGAAATCAATCAGTGTAATTCACCACATAAATAAAACAAGGAAAAGAATCACATGATCATCTCAATCGATGCAGAAAAGGCATTTGATAAAATCCAACATCCTTTCCTGATAAAAACTCTCAGCAAAAGCACAATTGGAAGAGTGTAGTCAATGTCACTGAACTGTGCATGTAGAAATTTTTGAAATGGTGTATCTTTGGCTATGTGTATTTTCACCAAAAAAAAAAAGGTTGAGAAGTTAG